CCAAAGTATCACAATAAGACAAAGCACATAAAATCAAGTATCATTATGTACGAGATGTCATAGAGAAGAAAAATATCGTATTAATATATATTCCAAAAAGTAGAATGCTAACAGATCCCTTGACTAGGCCTATACCTAGAGATACCTATACACACATATCAAATGAATGGGACATAGAAGTTCCTCAATTGTTTTCTATACCATGATCATTTGTCAACTCTTTTCATGCATGGATATACATTTTGTTTAGCATTTATATGAGTGATTCAATGTAATGTGGTTTGTTTAATGCACACACACAGTTTGGATGTACAACCATATTTGTGCACTAAAATGGGTGTTCATTGAGATAAATTGTCACGACAGATGCCCGTCTCTCGCACAGTATGACCGCCCTCAACGTCAATGTCAAGGACATTGGAGGATGAGACACATACAGTGTGTGAGTTAACCTCAATTAGACATCAAGATGAGAGTCTGTTTGAGATTGAAATGATCCATGTATATCATCCCACTAGATCATGTAGCATGTATAATAGCCAACTGTAAGAATCGGGAATGCTAAGGTAAGGTGCATGGATATGACCCTAGGAAACATTAGATGTGAAGGGATTCATGACTACGACTAGACTAAGACCTGCATGTTGTAAATATGACGCAAATCCTAGTACCTTATGTAATTTATACCATGGCATGTGACTCATATTACATGTGCTCAACGAGACCACTATGTTCATAGTGTAGAGGTCTATATAATGATCCATGTTCCCTATTTGCACAGTGCAAGAATTGCCAGTCACCTAATAAGTGCCATCATAAACCCTAATAATATATTAAGAAGTAGAGACTTGATACTGCTACTTTAGCATGCCTCCCCATGGTTGTGATTGACGCGGCCGGCTTAGGACCAAAGCCAAGAAACAGTCATGTTAAGCGCAATAATAGTAGGGGAGGAGAAAAGACCATTGGCAACACTCTGATTAGTCTTTGAAGAGGTCATTTTACTCAATGATGCTCATCAGTTGTACAACGATGTAAAAGTTTTTATCCAAATGTTATTTTGCCAAATATTTTAAAAACTAATATAACATAGTATAATACAATATAATATAAACATAATGTAATATATTTGCAAATGAAATTTCATGGCTTGCATGAAAACGATGTTTTATTACGTGAGTTGAGTGGGAGCGCATATAGGGGTTGAATGTCTCCTAAGCATAGAAAAGCTCGTGAGAGATTAGTGGAGATGCTCAATCCCATGTGGCCAATAGACTTCATTGGAGCCATTATTTTAGAGAGGAGGTGTTCTACATTAGTTTTGATGGAAAACTTTATGCGGTTCTTTCTGTAGAGATGCAGTCGCTTCTCAAAGTCTCATGGTTCATTTCCCTATTTAACATATCAAAGAGTTTTTTTTAACAAAGCTACATGTTTCCACCTATTTTGGGATGAGTTGGAGATGTTGACACTTGTAAATCGGCCACATGTGAGTAAAAGGACCAACATTGGATTTGGGTATTTGATTGTGGGTTAGAGATGAGAAGGAAATTCCAGCATGATTAAGTTAGATATTTTTTATAAGAGAATATTTAGAAATATCCTTATAGACATCTAAACTTAGGATTTAGATCAACATATAGAGTGGATAGGAATCTTTCCAAGATATAAGGAGATTTAGATAGAAAGTTTAAAGCACTTATTCATGTGTGCTTTTAGAGAATCATGTATCACACCTCTTTTTGGACGAGAGTAAGTAAAGAAGTTAGTCCAAAAGAATAGATTTTGTCTAGCCACATGGAATGCATGAACATTTACACGTAAGAGTATGGAGTTAGTGGATACAATGAGACGAAGGAAAGTAAACATAGCATGTCTACAGGAAACTAAACAGACAGAAGAAAAAGCTAAAGAAATATTTGGGTATAAACTTTAGTATACAGGAAAGGATAATGACATAAATGGTGTAGGTATAATAGTAGACAAAGATTTAAAAGATAAAGTAGTTAATATCAAGAGAATAGGTGATAGGCTCCTACTATTTAAACTTGCATTAGGGGAAATGATAATTAACATAATTAGTGCTTATCCACCACAGGTATGACTAAAGGATAGAATTAAGAGACAATTTTGGTATAGGATGAAAGAGTAAAACCACAATCTCATTGATTTGCTACATAGGATGAGAGAATGGTTTACTAAACCCTAAATCCCTAAAATCCTAAACCGTAAGCCTTTGGGGTTTAGTGGGTAGCCCGGGATCACTTGGTACTAGAGCCAGCACTGGCTTTGGATCTTCCCATTTTTAGGGGCAGAGGTTAGTGGGGAGTCTCTTTAGGTCTGTGTGGTGTTGTCCTGCTATTTCACATACCTCCATGGGAAGATAAGTCGGGCTCGACTAGTAGCATTCTCGTATCTTCATCCGATGTCTTGTATAGAGTCACTTGTAGGACGTCTGTTGCTTGCAAAAGTGGCTAAGAAAGACCATGTCCAACTCTCTTCCTTCTCAGCTTGGCAAGTATTGTAGCTGAGAGCAGGATGAGGAGGATGAAAACTCTCAGGTTCTAATCTCTGAGTTCCTTCGAAAAGATGGGCCTCGAGAAGCCAAGAAAATCCATATAGAAATATAAAGGCTAGAGATGTATATATGCTCAAGGGAAGTTACAGGATTTTGACCTAAGATTAGTAGATAATGTTGAAGTAGGGGAAGGGATGTTACAGGCTTTTGGCCTAAAACTTTTAAGGCCTATTTAGAACCATTATCCCTTAGTTTCCTTGATCAATTCTCTTTTAATTTAAATATTTCTAGTAAAATAAAACATAAGATCTTAAAAGATAAATCTCCCATTCCCAAATCCTGCACAACCTTATCAAAACTAAAAGGGTACTTTCCAAATATTCTTGGAAACCTTCATTCCTCTTTCTTTTCTCTTTATTTCATTCCTCTTTCCTAATCTTTATCAAATACAATGAATTCAATTTCCTTGGTCAACAAGTTTGGGAGGAGATAAGGATAGGTAGCAATGGGCGTCAAGGAGCCCTAATGGACCCAACTCCACACCAAATGCGCCCCCACGTGGGCCCTTGCCCATTGGGCCTCACATGATTCACGCATATTTTATGTGTGCCCAAAACGATTTTTAATCCCCAATAGGTCCTTTTAAAATGACTCATAAATTCTGAATGCTAAGATTCCCATTTATTTTTTGATTAAAAATTTATGGTGCAAAAATGAAACTTTTAATGGAACTTCAAATTCATTTTTAATAAATATTTTAATATACAAAAAAATTAAAATTGAATTGGATACATCGGTTCAAGAACATACGAAATTACTAAGACAGTTCAAGAACATACGAAATTACTAAGACAGTCCAATAAATAGAGGGAACATAGGTCCAATGTGTCGACTACAAGTTCTCCCTTAAGGACAAGTCATGCCCCATAAAGATGTGCACACGACCGCACAAGTGCAAGGAACATTTCTTCGGCACATGTACCTATCTTACCACAACAAGTCCCTTCCATAGATGCAGCTATCATGTATGCATAACTTGCAGCGATAATGTTGAGGTTTTGGCCCTTGCCCTTGCAAGCTGCCATCCACACACAAGCGACCGACAACCTTCTGGCTAACCACCTGGGTATCTTTTCGACCACAACAAGGGCCAAACCTGCAAACCCTCCATGGTTGTGCCTTATGCCCAAGGCTTAAGGGTCTTAAACTCCAATCCCAGACATAGATTACCCAAGTCGGGTGAGTCAACAAGTACTATGAAGCATGCCTCTCTGGTCCCACATGGACCACACTCCCATCAGAGCACAATATTTACTATAGTCATAGTTTTTACATGCTCTCGAGGCTTGTAAAGGCCACATACCCCAACCCACTAATCTAAAGAGGAAAAAAATGATGAAATTATGTTTATAAGCATTTCAGGAAAGTGAAGTCATCCCATTGGCAAAAACTTGAAGTTATGGTAATTAATAAGAGATGATCATGCATCCATAACAAATTTGGAAAAACCTAGTTTGCAAGCTTCCTCTGACATTATTAACCTTGGAAACCTGGAAGACCTAAGGTGACTCGCTCACCTCGATCTTAAGAACTGCATCCCTATTTCTTAACATAAAGATTTCCATGGACTCTTTAAGGGAGGTAAGTTGCCTGGTTTTCCCATGTAGAAAAGAGTTAAGTTTCTATAGGATGTTGGTAGCATCTATCATTTTATCGGCAGCAGGCTGTTACTACATCTTATCATCAGCAGACCAAACTTTAGCTTTATAGTGGGTCTTGGTAGCCAATTCACGCCTGGCCTAATGAAACCACAAACACAAACATGTTTGGATTCTTCAAATATATCCAGGAATGCCTGGGAAAAGGCTTTTTCTCTCAACAGATTCCAGCATGAACATCTCAATCTATATTAATGTTGATATGACAAAATGTACAAATGATTTGGAAATCCGCCAATGGGTATCTTGTTCATATGGCCCAAAACATTTTTAATAAAACAATAAACAGTATTCTATAATATGTTCAAAATCCAAATAAATGGCGTACCATGTCATCCACAACAAGGGAGTTAATTCAGACACAATGCTTCATGACTGCTTTAAGGCATAGAAATAAGAATGTTATAACCAAATTCTGCAACAAACAAAAGTGGCCCCGAATGCATTTCACAAGCACACCAATTATATAGAGGTGAATGACCGCGATGTATGAGGAAATGTCAGAAAATCTATCAAGACCAAGTACATAAAAGCCTGAACAGCAGTCAACTAAAGCTGTAGGTCAACAAATTCAGCCATTATTAAACAATCTAGGAACAATTTTTCTTAGTGAGTATAGAAGAAGCTAGAAACCGTTGTATTATAGATTTTTCCTTCTTGAGGTTATTATATGTATTATACCCTTCTTGCTAATAAAGATGTACACAGGCTAATTGGCCCCTTTTAAGAATGATAAAATTATTCTTGCATTGCTTTTTTTTTTCTTTTGATAACAAATTATTATTGCCTTTCCACTCTTCATATTCTTTTTGCATGAAGGTCATCCACAATCATTGCATCATAAAGTATTCCACATAAGGTTCAGAAAAGGTAGCCTGAGATATTCCAAACAAAGGGGATTCATGTGATTAAGTGCACTTGAATTACATTTAAGAAACATGTAGTAACAAATTAATGGATGAAAATCATTGCTATTATATATCAATCAGAAAACAAAAAAGAAGCATTGTTATTCCTAAAACTCTCTAATGACCGATGAAAATGAACAGAAATTGGAGCAAGGTTTGTGGCTTAAAGTTGCGACAGAGTAAAATATATGCATATAAAGACAGTTTTGAATAATCAAGTGCCATAGAAGTAATCATTTCAAATCCAAGCTAGTTTGGACTAATTTAGGGACTTAAATCAAATTTACAGAGGGAGAGCAGATCCATGAAATATGAAGAGCCCAAGAGGACATAAACACACCTCTAATAATTTCAAGAATGTCACGATCTTTGTTTATGCCATTCTTTTTTTTTTTTAGTGTAACTACGTGATTACCAATGGAAAACACCATTCTATTTCTGTTTCCTTTTTTTAATAACACAGATTGTATAAAATAGAAGCATATGTTAAAGTTTGCACCACATTGTATTTGTTGTAAAAGAATTAAAAAGATAGGTCTTACAATAAAATGGTCATGTGAGGAAATATGGGATTGCTAAAAAATTGCTCGAGAAAGATAATATAAACGGAGCTGCAGATGTGCTGATATCTGAGTGATTGATGATAAGGCTTGCCCTAAGGGCACATTGTTTAGTCAGATTGTCCACCATGCCGTTGGTCTCACGCTATTTGTGGTGAAAGGAGATGTTGATAGGGCTATCGAGTTGGAATATGCGCGAACATACATTCAAGCATCCATGGACATGCGTCCCGCAAGCAGCGACCATGGATCCATCTATGGTCAATGTAGTAAATATGACAAGCCCCAAGAAAGACGAAATCCGAGTCGTTGGAAACGATTCTGAATCCGAATAATTTTAGGAATCGGAATCGCTGAACCGCAGTGGCTAGAAGATTCATGTTTTCTAAATTGACATCCATACAAGAGAAATCGTGGGGAAACAAGATTCTATTTTATAGGAATCGAAATTCAACCAAAATAGAATCGAGATCCCTACATGGATAAAATCAAGATTCCTAGCTCTATGAAATCAAGTTTCCGACAAAATGGAATCGAGATTCCTTCATTTATGGAATCAAGATTACAACATCTTAGGAATCGAGATCCCTAGACATTTTGAATCAAGATTCATACGAGTACGGAATCGAGATTCAACCAAACTTGGAATCAAGATTCATAGTAGTTTGGATTCAGATTTCGACCCATCCGAAGGAGTATGTGCCTTTGATACCAATGATGATGGCATGGAGTATTCAATTTTTATGTTACACTGGCAAGTTATCCTATATTTTAATATTCCAAGGCCCTGCAAAAGAAGTCATACTTTCCATTGATACCTGCAAAAGACATTGGAATGAAATTATTAAGAATTTAACTCTAGACTTTTGAATTTGAATATTAATATGCGGAACCAAAACTTAGGCAATGCATTCATCGGATTATTGTTTGGAGCACACATGCATATCAAAGATAATCGGCTCCAGATCCCGTTTCCAAATAACTCGAAACAAAATCCAAAAATATTTCAACCAATTTATAAGTCACAAATTTATGCACCTAGAATATTAGTATTTGATTTTGTGGTATTATAATCCCAAAAAAAAAAAAGATCAAGGTTCTATGAGGGTGGAAACAAGTTTCAATGTTTGATTATTTCATTGTCTCTTGCATCTACTAAATGCAGTACCTGTCGCTCAGAAACCTGGATTCAAAAACAATTGAAACAAGTATCGTTATAGGTGGAAACCAGTTTCAACAAGTGTAGAATTATGATCCCCCAATTTCAAAATCGAAAATCAATAAATATTGGAAACAAGATTTTGTAAATATTGGAATCGAAATTCCAGACTTCACGGAAACGGGTTCCGTGAAGATTCCTTGTTGGAATCGCCAAATCGGGGTTACAACTCGGAATCGCAACCGTTGATGCGAGATTTGGGTAACCATGGGCAAAACTGTAGCTCCTTGACTATCTCTAGTGAGACCCTCGACTCCAAATATAATGGATTTGATGGCACCGATCCCTGGAGCGACCCATTGAGAAGAATGATTGGAAGGACTCCGACTTAAATTTTTATATTGTCCCCATAGATCAATAAGAAATCCAAGGTGAACAAGCTTTTGAATCCTTTCCACAGCATTGCCCAAGCGATAACATTGGCTCTTAACATTTGCCAAAATAGCTTCGGGAGGTCACACCAGATGTTCCACAGGGCAGCACAGAATCAAATCCTCCAGTGTCGGTCTCGAGAGAGGGAGAGAGGGGACCCAACGAGAAGGTGCCCGAGGGGGGAAGAAGGTTCTCGATAGTTATGGGATGGAATTTGGAACACGCACTCAAAGTCCAACAAGGTTAGGACACCAGTTTGAATGTGTGTCAGAAACAGGAAGTGAAGGAGATCGTCAACAAATTCTCCATTGTCCTTGCCATATTGTTGGAAATGCCTGAGATTCTGAATAATTTTAGGAATTGGAATCGTGACTGCGAGAATCTTCTTGTTTTCAGAATCTACACCTGTACAAGGAAATTGTGAGACACGAGATTCTTACTTTATAGGAATCGAGATCTGGCCTGAATAAAATCGAGATCCCCACATATATAGCATCGAGATTTGTCCTCTTTGGAATCAAGTTTCTAACCCATTTGGAATGGATCTATATGGAATTAAGATTCTTTCACATAAGCGATCAAGATTTTGATATCCTTGGAATCGAGTTTCTAATTTGATGCTTCGCATAGGTTCTAAATTGTTTATTTTGCAATTCATGGCCCTATGTTTTTGTTTCTAATTTGATGGAAAGAGTATCATTATATGTGGAATCTAAATTCAATAAATGTAGAATTGAGATTCAATAAGTGTGGATTCGAGAATCAATAAATATTTAAAAAGATATTCCATAAGTGTTGGAATTAAGAATCCTAAAATAGGGAATCGAGATTTCTGACTTCACAGAAACGAAATCCGTGAAGATTCATTTTCAGAATTGCAGAAATGGGACTCTGAATACGAATTACCACCTTAGGTGAGAGATTTTGGAAACTACAGTCCTTGCACATGGTGCATCTATTTGGCACGGTGAACCACACACGCCTTTCGAGTTGGTCGCTTGTATCATTTGTGAGCTGCCAACCAGTTGAAAAGTTAGAACTTTGCACGAGAGGAGGAAATCCAAATACTACCAAAAGCTGAATGAGAGTGGATCCCATGCCTAATTTCTTGGTAGAAGGAGAAATAGATAAAACCCTGAAGCGGATGGGGGCAAACAAAAATCCATCGCGTCCCAAGCCAGGGAAGAGATAGGTGTGGAGAGAGGAAAGAATGCACCTAATCTCAGTAAGTTTGTAATCTAAAGGGTCTGTCCTAAACCTCAGTGTCTCAATCAGTCTACCTCTCAAGAATAGTTGTATCAAAAACACTGCAATATTTGTTCTTAGCAACCAAGAATAAGTTGGCAGCAGGGTCCCCCAACAATAGATCTTTTCAGAAATGCACTCCAGGTCTAGATTTAACTAAGATACAAGTTGTGTGCGAAATAGGTTGTATGCCAAAAGAATACCATTCCAAGTGTTAGATTTGTGCGGCCTTTCAAGGCACTCCATTATGTTTATGTGATTATTAGCTCCAGTAGGAGTGTGGAACACCCGAGTGGCTCACCAGGCTTTACAGTCTAAGGCCAAGGAAATGGTATCTAATAGAGTCACGAAAGCCTTGGTTCCACTAGGGCATGGGCATGTGGCCCTATTGTTGTTGTGAGGGTTATCCCTCTGTGGAGGTCGACAGCGGTCCAATGGACGTGTGTAGCAAGGGCATGTGTTTTAGGTAGCACGATATGGATGTTGTTTTGGTAGCATGATTTGTATATGCCTTGTAGACCTATGTGGGGAGGCTTGGCTAGGACAACAGCCAAAACATCAACATTTGCCAACATCAACATTTGCCAACTCACAGCATGTGTGTGACAGCCGTTTTCAGCAAAGCGCCCTTCCGGCTGATCTACCAGACATGAAGCACACACATGTGCTTAAGAGAGGAACCCTCACACCCTCATAATGGTGCTTTGTGATACTTGTCCATTGGGGGTGCCCCATAAATCCACCAGATCCCATAATTCAGCCATCTAATGATAGACTTTGATGGACCAAGCATAAGCCCCTGCTTAAAATTATATGTCATGGGTTCCATTGGGCACTTTGAGAAAATGGTTGTGAGTTTCAAGACGAGGCAAAGTGGAGTGCTTTGTTTTTATGCGTTTTTATCAAACCTGAAGGTACCTAATTTCCCTCCAGAATTTTTATGAGGCTCTGTGATGATGGCGATGATGATGATGATGATTTTTCTGATTGTTCAAATTAATTTATTTTTTAAAGTGAACCCAAAAATGAAGTTTGGTGATTTTTGAGATTTTTATAGAATTTTATGGAGGCTTAAATGAGCTAAAAATTGTTTTCAAAAATTCTAAATAAGGACAGACAGGTGCCTTGACAAATATGAGGCCCAAATGGCCAATGGGCCACACATGTGTCCCAAAGGAGGGCCCGTAAGTGATCCCCACTATTTGAGCACGTGGATAACATCATCATGGTGTCATCAATGTGATGCTATTCATAAGGCGGTGGGTTGCCTATTTAAGTAAGAATGTTGTTGATTCAGGCAATCTAATATTGCACATAGGTTGCACATGGGCTTGGTTTATAGCAGAGGGCATAGGGTTTGATATTTTGCTTTAAACCCTAAGGCTTATGGGCAATTAAACTCACTTGTATGACACTGCTCATGCTCTCCTTAATCATATGAGAAACCCATATACAAGAAAGAGAGAAAAGATCTTGATTTCAAATTTAAAAACTCCACAGAGAATAATATTTGAAACTTAAGGGCACACCCATCTTTACTTGATCGCTCTCACACATCAAAATTTTATCATGGACAATTGTAACTTCATGCAAACTTTTGAATTTGATCACATGCATTTCACCAAGAAATATCTATGTTCATTGATGGGAAAATTGAGTTCAAATTAGAGGGATGTTTCGTCGCGATTGTTTGCCAGGGGATAATGATAGCTAGCCAAGGAATGGATGGCTTCCAAGATCAAGGGCCCTAAATGATCCTCAAGAGAAACTTCTACCCACTCTTACTCAAAGCCTATAAATAGGAGTCACCTCTCTCACTTAAACCTAAACCCATCCCAAAGCAATGTCACCATGCCAGAGTAAGAAAGAAAAGGAGAAAGAAGTGAATGGCATGACATAGAAGAGAGTGAGCAGGCATGCCATTTGTAGAGTGAGAATGAGGCCCCTTGGTCCTTGCCATGATCATGAATTTCTAGCCCCTTGTTCCATACATTTACATGGTGCATTACCTTCATCTTGGAACATAAAGCCAACATTAAAGCTTCATCATCTTGTTGCAACCTGCCCCTAAACCATCATTTACAGCAAGGAAATCTCTCTCATGGTGATTTTGGTTCATTTTCCATGCTATCCTAATTCTAGCATTAGCCCCCTCCATGCTTCATTGTGTTGCACCTATGTGGCCTTCAATTGGAACCACGCACCACCTACCTATCTTCACTCTCTTGCTTCTGTAAAAACAGTCACCGAAGTGACCTTAAAGTGTTTGATTGAAGTTCACTTTATGCTTCCCATGATAAAGAGTGTGATAGGGATCGGATCACTTATGCCATCAGGGCGGAAATCCAGAATAGGGTTTAATAAGTCTCATGGAAGGGACCAAACAAAATTGGTTATGGCTTGGATTCCCATAGTTTACGTCACTCTTGCACACATTTGTGGAATTCTTTCTAATGAGCGAGATTGCATTTGACTTGTAATTATACAAGAAAGTGTTTGATGTCATTATATGATAATTATATGTCGCTGATTTTCACATAAGTGGAAATTATATTACATCTATGCATTCTCATTGTGTCCAAATGAATGGAAGTCATGTTGGGGATGCTTTGAGGTGTATTTGGTCCTCTTTTGTTACTGTAAATCTGTGAGAGTGATCGTATATGTGAGATACGGCTATACTTTTATGAGAAAGTGTACATAATAAAGGTGTACTTGAGTCTCTGTTAAATTTTTAGGTTTTATGCACGAAGAGACCGGTATCACCACCTAGCAACACAGGGTCAGTGGAACCCTTTGGAAGCCAACCAGAATCATTGACACAGTACTTGTGAGATTGCCTTCTCCAAAGTTGGGTTTCTTGTGTGACAAAGCACCACAGCCACTTTCCCAGCAATTCCATGTTCATATCCCTTAGCATCCTTATCCCCAAACTCCCAGCATTTTGGGGTCTACAGAAAGCGGTCCAATTAACTGGTGGTA